CCTATAGTCACCAGAATGGAGGTGCGCAGACAGCAAGGGACCAATGAATAGATACCAAAAGAAAAGAATGTCCACACCTTTATCTCAGCAGTTCTGCCAGGTGTCTGTGGCTACTCCGATCTTTCCCCCACGTGGTCTCACCCAAGATGGCAGCTCCTAGAGCTGCTGAGCGTCCTGGACTAGAAAGCAATAGATTTCTTGCTTCTGCCACAAATTCCCCCAGCTATGAGCCTTCCAACCTTCTAAATATTACATTATATGTGGTTCAAAGTTCTGGGACCGTCCCCTGAGCCTGCTTGGTCGGGTATTCTGGGTTGTTGTTGGCGGAACGCCTTTACTGCACTTCTACCCGATCGCCGTCTTGCTTGTTCCTCCATTTCTCAATTCTTTTTAGGTGTTTGGATTCCAAAATTTTAAGAATCATTCGAAATGTGAAATAGAGGTCTTTCTTTTGTTGTGTCTTCATTTCCTATTGCTGTTGTAACGGAAGTTTTTTAAAAACAGAAATATATTTTCTTACAGATTTGGAGGCCAAAACTCCCAATCAGAGTCTCAGCCAGGTTATTTTTTTTTCTGTGGCTCTCTTTCCTAATTCTGATGATGATCCTTGGCCTGCCTTTGCTCTAGACAGACCCATACATTGTGTCTGTCTTTCTTGTGTGTATGCTGCTGTGTCTGTTGTGCTCTCTATACAACAACCCTTCAAAGTGATTAGGTTTAGGAACTATGTTTCTCACTTAGGATCCATCCTAAAGAACTTAGTAGCATAACAAAAATTCTGTTTTAAAACAGGATCCTATTTACAGTTATTGTTATTAGTACTTCAACACATACTTTTGAGGGACGCAGTTCAATCTATAATATACTGTTGTTGTTGTTGTTAAGTGCTGTCGCGTTGGTTTCAACCCATAGTGACCCCATATAGGGTGTCTGAGGAGCAGCTGATGAGCTTGAGTACCCAGCAAACACTAATATTAGGAAAGAAACCCTGGAATCATTAAAGAAATGCACTGCTTGTATGTATAAGTCCTGTGAGATCATGGACTATTCCAGGAAACTGAATTTCCTGACACTGGTACATTGAGAGAAATTATACTCTTAACCAGTGGATTCAAACATTGCACCAGTTATGAAGATGGCACGGGACCAAGCAATGCTTTTGTACTGTTGTGCATAGAGTCTCTATGAGTCAGAATACAGATGATGGCACTGAACGTGACATCTCACACAACCATACCCCACCCACACCACACATCACAACACATAGCATGCATACTCTTGGCAGACTTGAGGATGTTACTACTAAATTAGCTAGAGTTTTGTATGTTTTCTAAAAGTGAAGATGAATTCGAATAATTGGCAATTGATTGTTTTTTTTACCCATATAGAATTTGCCATCTGCTGTAGCAGCTCATGTTCTGAACCCTCAACCTGGAGAGAAGATTCTAGATTTGTGTGCAGCACCAGGAGGCAAAACAACACATATTGCAGCATTAATGCATGATCAGGTAAGGTTATTTTCACAACAAAACTATTTGATGTAAATTTCAAGGGAGAAGGTAGGATTTCATATAATTTATTATATAGACATTCATGATCTGAACATTTACAGATTCAGCCAAAGTGAAGAATATTCAGAGATGTCAGTCATCATAAATTAAGTAGACATTATCATTTGTGAAGATTGTTTCTCAAGACTTCTTGACTGTTTCTCAAGACTTCACCAGTTTGTTAAATGCAATTATAGAGTATAATTCCTTCCTCATAAAATTAAATGTTTTAAAGACCTTTTCATGTCATAATTATAAATTAGTATTTTTTAAAAATTGCTAAAATAGATTTTTCCACTAAAATTGATTTTACAATATATTATGAAAGTATTGAAGTATGTATGTACACACATTGTATATAAAATTAATAATTCTTACATAAAAACACAAATTTCCTACATATGTTGTTGTTGTTGTTATGTGTCGTTGAGTTGGTTCCGACTCATAATGACCCTGTACAGGGTTTCCGAGGCTGTAAATCTTTACGGGAGCAGAAAGCCTCATCTTTCTCCTGCGGAGCAGCTGGTAGTTTCGAACTGCTGACCTTAAGGCTCGCAGTCTGATTCGTAACCACTATGCTACCAGAGCTCCTTATCCTACATATGAGGTGGCTTCAAACAGTTTGTGAAAAAATTCCATTATTTTTCAATTCTAGAAGTTTTATTGAAGCCCCTAATATATGTCTGTGCTTGTGTGTTCTAGTCTTGAAATTCATAAAAGCAGTATGATCTGGCTTAATTATAAAGGTTGTTTCATTGTCACAAAATATGAGTAAGGCTGTCCTAGGATAACTTCAGCTCAGATGTTTACTGCATCTTCTCCTGTGGATATGGAGTCCCTGGGTGATGCACACCGTTAAATGCTCTGCTGTTAAGTGACAGATTGGCTGTTTAAACCCAGCCAGCAATGCCTTCACAGACAGACCTGGCAGTCTGCTTTTGAAAGGTCACAGCCTTGAGAGTACTTGGAGCAGTTCATTCTCCTCTGCACACAGTGGCCACCTTGAATCGGAATCAACTTGGCAACTAATAACACTAACCTATGTGTCTGTTTAAGGAGCTCTGGTAGTGTAATGGTTATGACTCGGGCTGCGAACCTCAAAGTCAGCAGTTCGAATCTACCAGTTGTTCCACGGGAGAAAGATGAGGCTTTCTGCTCCTGTAAAGAGCCTCAGAAACCCTGTACAGGGTCACTATGAGTCAGAACCAACTCCACGGCACATAACCACCAACCACCACATGTGTCTATTTGAAAGGTGTCTTCTTTCCTTCTTGGCTGGTTTTGTGTTGACAACTAATTGTGACTTTGTAACCAGTCTGTCCTTGAACTTGATTCCTTAATTCAAGAAGGATGCAGTTGGTTAATGTTATTTTACCAATTGCTTCATATCATGTAAAATTAAAGAGTTACTAAAACCTTACACATGCTAGTATTTTCAGTCATAATAGCTTTCTTTATCTGGAATCAGATTTTGACTACTTACTTAGCTGAGTGAGTGATTGATGAAACAGATATTTGTTTAGTATCTGCTTTGTGCCAGAGACTAGGATAACACAGTAAACCATAGTAGCCCAAATTCCCATATTCATGGAAGTTCATAGTCTAGTTACAGGAGACAGATAATAAACAAATACATGAATTAAATATTCATAATTCAAATCATGAATAAAGGAAGGTTTGTATTAAGGTGAGGGGGATTATGAATTTGCTGTTTAAATGGGGGTGGTCATGGAGGTCCACAGTATGAAGGTAACATTTGAGGAAAGATTTAAAGGACATGAACAATGTGGAGATCTGTGAAAAAAATGTTCTAACTAGACAAACTAAATGTAAATGCCCTGAGGTGGAGGAGTCCTGACTTGAGAGAGAAACCATAATAGTTTTGGAGGGAGGAGGACAGGAGGAAAAGAGATCAGAGATATAGGATGGAGAGAGAGGGTGTTTGGGCCAGAGCAGTTTTGTAAATTCTGGTAAGACTCTGGTTTTACTCAAGAGTGATGGTAAGTCATCGGAGATGTTAGAAGATGGAAAGTCATCGGAGATGTTAGAAGAATAGAGTGACATAACCTTACTTTCTGTGAAAAGCATTATTGTGGGGAAAAACACAACATTATTGTGGCTATTGTGTTGAATACAGGCTTTACGGGGGTAAGGCAGAAGTACAGAGACCAGTTACCAAACCACCCACTGCCCTTGAGTTGAGTCCGACTTTTAATGACCCCACATAAGATTTCCTAGACTGTAAATCTTTACGGGATCAGATAGCCTCATCTTTCTCCCAAAGAGTAGCTGGTGGGTTTGGACACTAACTTTGCAGTTAGCAGCTCAACACTGAACCCACAGTACCACTATGGTTCTTTATGGAGATTAGTTAGGCAATGGTAATTAAGGAGAAAGCAGTTAAGAGTGGTAAGAAGTGGTTACATTCTGGGTATGCTTCCAAGGTAGAGCTACTAGGAATTGCTGATAGATTGGATACTAGTTGTGAGAATGAGAGATTAATCAAGAGCAACTCCTAAGATAGTTGGCTTGAAGAACTAGAAGGGTGGAGTAATTGCTGGATAAGGAAAAGTATGGGAGGTGCAAGTTTTTCAGGGAGAAATCAGAAATTCCGTTTTGAACATATTAAAATGAGATGTCAATTATATATCTAAGAGTTTTGAAATGTTGTGAAGGTAATTGGATAGATATTAGTCTAGAACTCAGGACAGAGGTATAAGTTGGGAACCTAAATTTGAAAAGCATCAAATATAGATAATATTGTTGTTGTTGAAGTGCCTTTGAGTCATTACCAACTCATAGAGACCCTCCATAGGGTTTCCAAAGAGTGGCTGGTGAGGTTCACTTACCAACCTTGTGGTTCAAACTGACCTTGCATTCCAGTGCTTTCTCCTACAGCACCACACTAGGACTCCTATAGATAATCCATAAAAGTGGATGATTAGTCTGGGGACTAAGTCTCATGGGTGTAGTGTGCCAACATTCAGGTTGGAAGGTGCAAAGGCATGTGTAGGAAGACAGCCTGTAATAGGTTATGATACCCTAGAAACCCTGCGAAGACAGGGATTGAAGGAGTGAAGAGGTAGACCAAGTAAAATGAAGATTAAACTCAACACCAGATTTAGCAATATGTAGGTCATTGATGGCCTTGACCTGCATCGTTTTGGTGAATATAAATGTTTGTTTGATTTTAGGAAAGGATAATACAGGAATAAATTCGAAAGTGAGCAGAGACAGTTGCTTTTCAGGCAGGAAGTCAGAGACATGAGGTAGAGTTGGGGAGGGATGTGAGGCTAAGCGTGTTTTTAAAAAGAACAAACAGCAATGTTTCTGTGCCAATGAGAAAGATACAGTGAGAAAGAAGAAATAGACAGCACCTGGGAGAGAGTTACAAAATTGCTGGAACAATATCCTTGAGTGGGTGAGATGTGATGTGGTTTGGTGCATGAGCAGTAGAACTGGCTGTAGATAATAGCATGGTACAGTTAATCCATGGAAATAAGAAAGGCAGAGTATGTGGGTGCAAATATTGATAGGTTGGTAGGTTGCTAAGAAACTAAAAGTTCACTTTTGGTTGTCTCCGTTTTCTCAGTGAATTAAGAGACAGGGTCATTAGATGAAAAGGGAGGAGGAGGCAGTGTTAAGAATTTTGAGAAACTACAAAATAGTAATTTAGGAAAGTAGGTAAAGTACTGGACTAAAGACAGACATATAATTCTGGTTTGTATTGAGAGTCCCCATGAGTATAGTGATCATGAAGTTCAAGTGAGATGAATTGGTATGGTTGTATACATTTCAGCTGCATGGGGGTAGACTTGGAGTTGACTAAGAACTGGATTAATCCATGTTTGCATCTTTGTCATGTGTGTTTGTGCAAGAGTGGAGCATGAAAGTTGCTGATGTGTGCAAGGAATAATTTTTATGACATGCCATGAAATCTAATCTAAGGTGATAAAGAGCATAGCAAGGACCTTAAAAGTGTGGCAGCTGTGGACTAGTTGTTATTTTTTCTAAATTAGCTCACATTTATACAGTGGTAGACAATTTTATGAACCTAGGAATTTCGGCCATTACCTTTATGATATTAATTTCTGGACAAGAAAACATTAAGTGGGGCAAACTTTCTAGCGTCAAAATAGACCTCTATAAAGCTTTTAGGGAAGGTCTTCTGTCTAACTAATTTACTCAGTAGAAGATAACGTATCTGTGTACTTAAACCAGAAGTGCAAGATTATAGACTTTACTAAGTGATCCGTTTTTTCTACATAGTATTTGATGATTCTTAAGACTGTCAGAATTTAATCTTTTTCAGAAACAGTAGAAACATTTGCTGTGTCAAGGTCAAATTGTAACTTTTTCCTTTCGTTATTATAAATATTAGTTATCCAAAAACTTAACAGTGAGAGTTCACATTGCCCATTAGTATCTAATACAATGCTATTAAAATTTCTGAAACATTCTGTATGTCAAGCAGGTGGTATAAAATAAAAATGAGTGTGGGTATTACATGTGTGTGTATGTATACACACTCAACACACATATACAGTCCAGAACATTTTTCTGTGCTATGTAGGTATTTGGGTTTACGTCTTCTCTTTAATTGTCTCATATGAATCTTGTTAGTATATAGCTCAGAAAATACAGACATGAGTGTATGAGCATTTAATGAATTCAGCTTTAAAACTTGGAATAAGGGTGGGAATGGGAAAGACTCATTTTTCCTGAGTTTTTTTTTGCTAATAAATTTCCTGACTGCTTTGGATTAACACTTTATTTTTATGTTGTGGGGTTTTTTTTGTTTTGTTTTCAGGGAGAAGTGATAGCACTGGATAAAATAGCCAACAAAGTAGAAAAAATAAAGCAGAATGCTTCGTTGTTGGGGCTGAATTCCATCAAGGCTTTTTGCTTTGATGGAACAAAAGCACTTAAACTTGAGATGGCTGAGGACACAGAAGGTGAGTTGAATTTTATTTTAATGGCTTTTCTAACTGATGTTCACAGGCAATGACAGCAAGACTTTTGCTCTTATTTTTATTACCCCCAAATACCCCTGGGACCTAGAAAATCTGGCTTGGATCCCGGATAAATTGCCTTCTCACACGGCTCTTTGAAATTTTCTATTCAGTCCTTTTTGAGGAGCTCTAGTAGTGTAATGGTTACGAGTTTGACTGCTAACCTCAAAGTCAGCAGTTTGAAACTATTCCACATGAGAAAGATGAGGCTTTTTGCTCCTGTAAAGATGTACAGCTTTTGGAAACCCTATTCAGGGTTGTTATGAGTTGGATTCGATACCATGGCACATAACCATCACCATTCAGCTCTTTTACCTCCTTTCTTGTATTTGCTTTAGCATCTCTACGCTGGGGAGCAAGTTTCACAGTCACTTTGGACATCAATTTTGTCTTTTGTTTTCTTTCTTATCTTGTTAATGACCTTTTGATTTCTTCTTGTATGATGATCTTGATGTCATCCCATATCTGTTCAGGTTTTCAGTCATTATTGTCTAGTGCGTCAAATTTGTTCTTAAGATGATCTCTAAATTTGAGTGGAATATATTCAAGGTCATAGTTTAGCTCTCATGGACTTGTTTTAATTTTCTTCAGTCTCAGCCTGAGATTGCATATGCGAAATTGATGGTTTGCTTTGTTTCACAGTCTGCCCCTGGCCTTGTTTTGGCTGATGATATGGAGCTTTTCCACCATCTCTTTTCACAGATATAGTCAATTTGATTTCTGTGCACTCTGTCTGTTGAGGTCCTTGTGTATAATCATCTTTTATATTGTTTAAAAAAGCTATTTTCAATGAATAACTCATTGGTGGTGGTGGTGGTTATGTGCTGTAGAGTCTATTCCGATTCACAGTGACCCTCTACAGGGTTTCTGAGGCTGTAAATCTTTATGGGAGCAGAAAGCCTCATCTTTCTCCTGCAGAGTTGCTGCAGGAGTTTCAAACTGCTGACCAGAAAAAATCATTGGAAATTTCTGTCATGCTATCTCCAACATCATTTCTTGATACAAGAAATATTTGAAGTACCATGGACTTCCAGCAAAAACAAGAAAGTCTTTATTGGAAAAAGTACAGCCAGAAGACTCTTGAGAAGCAAAGATTATACTTCTAAGGAGCTTCTGGTTGTACTTGCTCCAACAAATATTTGTTTATTCTTCTGGCAGGCCATGGTACCCTTAATATTCTTTTCCAACACCATAACTCAATTCTTATGTGTTCTTCCTTATTCACTGCAAAACTTCCGCATGCATATGAAGCTACTGAAAATACCATGACTGGGCCAGCCGCACCTTAGTCCTCAAATTGACATCTTTGCTCTTCAACACTTTAAAGGTCTTGTGTAGCAGATTTGCCTAATGCAGTACATCATTTGATTTATTGACTGCTGCTTCCATGAGTGTTGATGGTTGATTCAAGAATGAAGTCCTTGACAACTTCAATCGTTGTCCGTTGATAACAATGTTGTTTATTGGTCTAGTCGTGAGAATTTTTTGTTTTGTGTACATTGAGGTGCTCCCCATACCGAAGGCTGTGGTCTTTTGATTTTTATCAGCAAATATGTATTTTTTAATTAATTAATTTTTTTTTTATGTGATAGTTTAAATGGGAGAACATTAGTCCTACATTCATCCTATTGTATATCGTTTCATTGCCATGGTCACAATCCCCTCCATGCATCGTGAACCAACCAAAGGATATACCCTGCAAGCCTATCCTCCGGTCATCAGCACACAGACTCTCTCCCTCTCTGGATCCATAGTCCCCAACCACTCCATCTCTCCACGTCATCCTCTCTGCCTCCATCTCTGGCGTCACTGCTACCTTGGGTAGGGTCCTGCTCTCTGCTCTTCTCCTTTGATGGTCCTAGGGACCTCTACTCCTAGACTGCAGAGTTAATCACTCCCCGCCTTGCTACAAAATGTCTACCTTTACATTTTCAACCCTCACAATCAGTCCTGATAACAATTATTCACTTTTGTATTACAAGAAGCCTATCCTCATTTCCTTTCATCAGCCCCACCTAGACAGATTGGATACCACTCAGTGGAGATTCTACCTTTTCCATGTCCTCTGGATCTAGGTTCCCTCTTGGAAGCTTGGAAGCCAGTCAGTCACTTCTTGCATTTGTAACCCCTCCCCCCCTCCATTTTGGGGAGCCAATGTCCAAGTTGCCCATCCCTGTCTACTCTGTGTATGGAGGGGGTGGGAATGATCCTCGCTGTAAAGATTTGTTCCCTCTTTTGAGCTACTGCATCCATAGGTGTAGGTCAAGTTCATCAAATTGTATCAGATTACTCTTTTTTTCCTCTTCTTTCTTCTTGTGGTTGAGCTTGGATCATGCAGTCATTGAAGCCAGATCACGTGGGTATTACCTGCAAGTGTGGGTGTTCTTGTGCATATGCCCTCTCTTCTTATCAGCAGGACGCTTAACTTTCTACTCTAGTCCTCTGTGGCTATGTCACTGACTCTGGGCCCAAGAGTCCCCAGGTCTTTCCACACTGTTGGCCAACCAGGTCTCCACCCGGGTTCACAGGAGTCTATTGAGTGTTGTAGGCTTTAACTCGCAGCTTCATTGCTGTTTTTCCCTCACTTCCCCTTATCGGTGAGGAACGTGGTTACCAATCAGAGCGTGTATTCCCACTGAGTCTTAGTCTTGGAAGGGGGTTTGCTCTGAGGGGACCCAACCACATGGCTTGATGTTTCCTAGGTGAGCAGCTTGCTTGTTCTTGTAGTAATCAGTCCATCTGCCTATATTGTTTTGTGTTTTTCCTGTCAGTCTTTCTTTCAAGAAACATCTTCTGTTCTTCTAGCCATTCCAGGCTGGTCTGCTTGTCCTTTCAAGTGCAAATTTCCCACCTCTGAAGATTCTGGAGGCTGTTTAGGATTCCACTTATGGTCTTATGTAATGCAGAGACTCCACAGGAAGCTTCGTTCACTGGGCACGTTGTAGCCCCATTTTAGGTATTCCAATCAGTTGTAGGCAGAAGATGGACTTACAAGCTTCCTATGGTGATATTTCTGGCTATTCCATTTGCTCCCCTTCCAGTGTCTATTTTATAATGGTATGAAAGGGAAACTAAGATTCAAAAGACAGGCAAGTATCTCAACATTATTTCCCCCTTGTCCCCCATTCCAACCATGTCTCAATCCCTGTATCCCAGAGTCCTGTTGTTTCAAGGTTGTGCATATATCTTTCTTTACCTCTGTCCCACTTATCCCATGCAAACCTGCCTAATTGTTCTCCCATCTGCTTTGTTCTTCCATTCCACTCCCCCTTCTTGTATATTGCCCTCCTCCCTAGCACCCAAACTGTCCTGTGTCTATTCCCTGCCCTGTGCTCCACCTTCCCCTTCCTCCCCTCACCTCATCCCCTACATCCCAGTAAGCATCAAAGAATCCACCCCCTGCCCCCACCTCTAGTATGGAGTCTTTTACAGTAGTGGTCCTTTGCAGTATTTCTCCTTTTGTGACTGACTAATTTCACTCAACGTAATGTCCTTAAGGTTCATATATGTTATCGGTGGCTTACCACTTCCTTGTTGTTCTTCAAGGTAGCATAATATTGCATTGTGTGTATGTACCACAGTTTATCCATTCTTCAGCTGATGGGCACTTTGGCTGTCTCCATCTTTTTGCTATTATAAATAGTGCTGCTATGAACATTGGTGTGCATATAATCTACTCATGTTATGGCTCTTATTTTTTGAGGGTAAATACCAAGTAGAGGAATTGCTGGATCATAAGGTATTTCTATTTCCAGCCTTCTGAGGAAGCACCATATTGCTTTCTAGAGAGGTTGGACCACTTTATTAGCAGATATTTTAAGTCCTATTGGCTCTCAGAAAGCAAGGTTGTATCATCTGCATATCACAGGTTAATAGGTTTTTCAAACATTGTAAATTAGTTTTGTTATTAGTTATTAAGTTTAATTTATAGGCATAATACATTGTTAAC